GCTAAGGCTTCCAAAAGCTGGCCTGGGACAGATGAATGAAACAGGAAAAAAAACATCCTGCTAAGAAAAAGGAAGCCTGGATTGGGACAACATGTCTGACTTATTCACAGATCATGAGGGTCACAGGTCATCTGGCCCAAACCCTCTTGACCTGCCACCATCGAGGGACCTTGCCGACAGCCACAGAGCTGGTGTGAGGAAGCATTCACTGACCACCTGGCCTCTCTAGGAAGGCCCTGAGATTGACACAACGCACACTGCCTGTAGTTGATGCTTTCACCATGTGGGGGCGCCCACACCCTCCTCTCCCTTTCCACCTCCAGTGCAGCCCGTGTTCTCAAGCCAGCAGTTTCAGATGACCCCAAAATTCTGCTAACAAAAAGCACCTACTGCTAATTCAGCACTACTGCATGTCAGACACTGCTAGTATCTTTATGTAGCCACAGAAAACAGTTACGTGTCCTTACAATCATGTTTCACACAAGAAGAAGGTACGGCACATGGATTTTAAGTCCCTCCTTGAAGGTCGCACAGCTAGTTAAATGCACAGTCAGGATCCAAACCACATCTATTCGACTCCAGAATCTGGGCTTTTATACCCCACCTCGTCCTCTCCGAAAGAGTGGAAACCTACAAGCTGGAGAGCCCTCCTCTGCCTGGGTCTAGATCCCAGTCCCCGGGGAAGAGTCTTTAATGTCTTCGTAGAAGTTGAGGAGAATCCTTGGTTCCAAATCCTCCCAACTTATACACGATGAAAGAAGGCCCTAGAGACATTGGGGAATATGGCTTACTGTCCACGGCCACACACCCCAAAAGGGGGACCACTGGAAGAGACCTAGAGGCTCACTCAGCCCTCCGTGTTCCCGAGGTGCCTCTAGAGACACCCAAGCTCCCGAGCTTCTCTTTCACTGGCAATGTGATTCCTGGACCTTACTGCTGTTCCTTCACTCCCTTTCTCACTTTCTTTAGAATGATCATGTTTTAATCTATTTCTGTGGCCTTAGAAAGCTGGGCACTGATCCTCAGGCTCCTGCATACTTGGGGGCACCCCAATCCAGAGGCAGACAATAATAATCACTAAAATGGATAGTTATATCCCAGGCCCAGTGCTAAGAGGTTTATGTGAGTCATCTCAGTAAATCCCACAGTAACCCACTGCTGTAGGCATTTCACTCCATTTTACAGGAGAAGAAACTGAGATACAGAAGGGGAAGTCACTTGCCCAAGCTCTCTAGCCCGGGCCTCTGCTGTGGGAGCAGTTCTTTAACGAGTGACTCTTGAGCTCTCTGCTTTCTCCAGGCTGATTCCCCAGCCAGATTGTCTTAGAATGATGGCTGCATACACTTACAACACTTAGAGCACAGTGTCGAATGAATGATTAAATATCAGATGGGAGCACGGTTTATGGGCGTTTCCCATCTAATATCTCATTTAATTGTTCATTCAACAAATATCTATTGAGTGCCTGCCAGCTGCCAACACTGCTCTAAGTCCTTGCTGCTCAGAGCGTGCCCCCTGGACCAGCAGCAGTGCCTGGGAGCTTGTTGGAAAGGCAAAATGTCAGGCCCTGCTACTGACCTGAGTCAGAATCTGCATTTAAACAAGGTTCGATTCAGATCCTTCTGCTGGCCAGCTGCCAAAAACAAAACCCAAAAAAACAAAAAACCCCAAGGTTCCTAGGTGATTCATATGCACAATAAAGTTTGAGAAGTGTGCCTTTATAATATTTCTGTAATACCATGAATTAAGACATCCCCTTTAATGAAGAGATTCAGAGACACTGTGACCTGCTTGCATTCCCACAGCTAACTATGAAACAGCGTATGTAGACAGCTCACAGCCGGGTCCTGCACAGTGTGTGCTCAGTAAACAGTATCTATAATATACATGAGGGAGCCAGGCTGGAGACCACTGGGACTGTCAACTGCACAGTCCTTGGCCTCAGGAGAGCCCTGGGGGTACCAGGCATTCACTGACCAGATGAGACCAGCACTGTGGCTATGGCTTCCCTCCCAGCTCTGCCAGTCTAAAGAAATGGGAGCTCGGGGCTCCAGCAGCTACGTTGGGGGGGAGCCTGACCCCACAGCAGGAGGCACCCTGTGGGAGGATGTTATTCTCCAGAAAAGTCCAGATATAGAAAGAGGGGGTCCAGAGGCTCTCTGAGGGGTCCCTCCTGCAAACTCCATGCCCTCAAACTTCATCCCCTCTGCCTGCAGGGTTACCCTCTGTGCGGAGGACCCCCCGTACCGGCCTTCCTCTCCTCACTTCCTGTCCCTCCCTTCAGCAGGTAGGCACTGTGGGAAGGCCACCCGGCCTGCTCCCTCTCAATCAGCAGGACGCAGGCATGTCTCCCTGTGATGGTCGAGTCCTCCCCAAGGCCCCCCGCAGCCAGGGATCCAGGGCATTACCTGAACACCTGCTCAGCACGTCCCCAAACGTCCTTGCTGACGTCCTGGAAGGTGCTGGCTTTCCATCCTCCTCGGAGAACTAACAGAACGTTCTTATCTTCAAATAGCCTATTTACCTCTTCTATTCTTCAAACAAAAATTAACACACAAATATTTTTAAGCAAAATTTTCTTACAGTAAAAATTCAAAATAAATTTAAATACTATAAATACTATTTAAATACTATAAAGTAAAAAGTCCCACCCTTTAAAAACTTAACTTCCTGACAACCTGCGTCCTCGTCACCATCTCTTCACCCGTCTGACCCCGCTGGAGTCATCCCCGCCGCGACTCCACGACCGCCCTCCGGACCTGTCCCCGCAAGTGGCCGATGCTCCAGCGTCGCCTCCTCCCCACTCTTCAGCCCCGGTCTCCGCCCTTCTCCCACCGCCCCCACGACTCCGGATCCTCGGCCGCGCCCGGCCCCCGCGCCCTCGGGACGAAACCCCCCGCCAGCCCCGCCGGGGGCTGAGCCCGCCTCCTGCGCCCCCCGGGACTAAGCCCGCGCCCCGCCCGCCCCAGGAAAGCGGTCCCCGCCCACGCCCGGGGGAGGAGACTCCGCGGCCGAGTCCGCCCCGGGGACCAGCTCCGCGCCTGCGTCAGCCCTGGGGGGAAGCTCCGCGCAGGCCGAAGAAAGGAGCTAAGTCAACGGCCTCTTCTACCCGTTTGTGTCTGCAGGGATGCCGGAAGGGCCATCCGTGAGGAAATTTCACTACTTGGTCTCCCCCTTTGTGGGCCAGCAGGTGGTCAAGGCAGGGGGCAGCAGTAAGAAACTATACCCAGCTGACCTTCAGTCTCTGTGGCTCCAGGACACCCAGGTGAGATCATTATCCCTCCTCAGCACATCCTGCACCTCCCCGAGGCTGCCACTTCCATGAGGCTGAGAAGCCCACGTTTGGCCCCCACAAGCCCTTTGCAGGGTGGTGTGGCTGAGCCAGAGGTGGGTGTCTCCGTGGGCTGTGGGTCTGTAGAGAACACAGGGCTGGGGGGCGAGGACAGGCGCGGGGCGGGCGGGCCGCGGAGGCTGTCCCGGGCGGGCGCACGGGTGGGCGCGGTCACTGCGACACTTTTCGGCGCGGAGACGCGAGTACAGAGTGATCCGGAAGCGTCTGCTGAGGATCCCTCAGCCCTGGTCTGTGGACCGCGGCGCCTCCGCGCGCGTTTCCCGGGAGGCCCCGGGGACCCTCAGTGCCGTCTCCACGCCCGCTTCTCCCCCCACCCAGTCTCCGAGGAAGAGCCGGGAGAAGCGGTCGCTGCAGACTGTCCCCGGGAGTGGTGTGCTCCGGGAGAGGGCGGGGACCCCCCTGCCCTCCCCGCAGGCCCCTGTGAGCTGAGGGGCTCCCGGGGGGCCCGGCGTCCTCCCCAAACCTGCGAGGCCCCTTCCTGGCCTCCTCTTTCAAGGATGTTCCCCTTGTCCGTGTCCGTGAAAACACGGAGAAGAGAAGTGTCCGTGCGTGGAGAGGTTTAAGGACCAGGCGCACTTCAGGGCAGGCTTCTCCAGGCCGGGCTCCGAGAGCTGGTCCAGGTCCTCTCCTTCCAGACGGTTCGGCAGGATTCCCTCTGCAGTGTCTGGAAGGTCTGATTAGGGGAAAGATTGCCATATTTCAGCGAAAGGCATCCCCTTTCCATAATTTAAGAAATGTTACTTATTTGGGGGCGGCTGGCTGGTGTTTTTGAGTCACTGAAGTAAAAGCTCCCACCCTGCCAGGTACCTGTCCAAGTTTCACTTTCACCTTGACTCGTGGCCAGTCGCGTGTCGGGAGGACATGGGTGGTCCAGCGGCGCGCCCTGGGCGCACGGGGTGCAGACCACTTAGACAGCCTCGGACAGGCGGCTCTCGGGGGACCTGGGTGATTTGGGGTGGGGGGAGAAGGCGGCCCCAGACAGCCCTGCATCAGCGTTGACCCGAAATCACAGTTCTTTCTCATTTATCGGGGACGATTATCTGCGGTTAAGCTCGATCCGCTCTCCCTGCTCTAAGCCCATCTGGCCAGGTGCTTCTGAGCTCTGTCCATATTGTGGTCATCTCACACATGTCTCCCCTACTCGAGGGGTGGCCGTGGGAGGGCCAGTCTTTGTCTGTGTCTTTGTGTCCCTTACAGCCTTTTGCATGGGGTCCCCTAAAAGGGGGAAAATAAATCGGCAGCAGTGGGTTGGAATGACTCTGTGGGGGCGGAGGGAGGATGGAGAAAAAACAGAGATGACTTAGGGGCGCACGGTCCAGGTAGAAGGTAACAAGGGCCAGTTCCCAAGTGGCAGCTGCCAGGGGACTGAAGTGCACGGCTCCCTTGATATGAGACCTAGAAACCTGTTGGTGCTTAATAAGTGTTTGCTGCATGAAGAAAGGCGGGAGGGGCTGGCAAGAGAACCCATTCCTGCACAGCCGGCTCACACCTGCTGCTGCTTGACCCCTGTGATCTGACCCCACCACCCCCCGCCACACTCCCTTTTTTCACCTTATATAGGAGTTGCTTGGAGCTTAGCACCCTCCAGAAATGCTGGAGAGAAAGGAGCTAAGTCAACGGCCTCTTCTACCCGTTTGTGTCTGCAGGGATGCCGGAAGGGCCATCCGTGAGGAAATTTCACTACTTGGTCTCCCCCTTTGTGGGCCAGCAGGTGGTCAAGGCAGGGGGCAGCAGTAAGAAACTATACCCAGCTGACCTTCAGTCTCTGTGGCTCCAGGACACCCAGGTGAGATCATTATCCCTCCTCAGCACATCCTGCACCTCCCCGAGGCTGCCACTTCCATGAGGCTGAGAAGCCCACGTTTGGCCCCCACAAGCCCTTTGCAGGGTGGTGTGTCTGAGCCAGAGGTGGGTGTCTCCGTGGGCTGTGGGTCTGTAGAGAACACACACACAGGAGCTGTGGAGACCCTGATTCAGAGTCTGCAGTGATGCTGGTCTCTCCAGCTGTGCCTGATGGGTGCCTTGGGCTGGGAACATGTTTGATCCCATGGACCAGCAGGGAAGTAAAGAAAGAGCCGAGCCTTCAGATCTGGGTTCAAACCCGGCTTGTCTTAGCCTAAGTAGAAGTCAGAAGTCCTTCGCGGGCCGACAGGGCTCTCTGTGGTCTGACTCTTGCTGCCTCTCTAGCCTTCTCACTTGCCCCAAATCTGTCTTCCAGTCATACTGAACCACCTGCAACCCCTCTGACGGTCTTCCCGTGGTTCTGAAACGCTGGTCCCTGTGTGGGCAGGTCTTCCTTTCTCTCCCAACTCTTCCTCTGTCCCTGTCCCCTCAATTTACTGTGGCGGTTCCTAGTCTTTCTCCTGGATTCTGCTTAGCCCTTACATCCTCTCAGAAGCCTGTCCTGCATGCTTTAGGCTGGGTGAGAGACTGTGCTGCCGTGGCATCCTGTCCTTCCTCCTGTTGAGTGGAGGAGGCAGCGACTGTGTCCTCATCAGTACTGTGCCCCAACGCTCAGATGAGTGCCCAGCATGTAGGAGGCACAGGGTAAATGTTTGCAGAGTAACTCAGGGGGCTCAGCTGCCGCTTAGCTGTCTGCTCTTAAACAAGTGACTTAATCTCTTAGTTCTTGTTTCTTCAGTTGTGGAATGGGATAAGCCACCCACCTGTTAAAACTGTTGTATTAGGAAGACTTTATATCTGGCACATGACAGGCGCTCAGTAAATATCAGCTCTCTTTCTTCCACCTTGCCCTTCCCACACACCTTCCCTCCCCCCACTGGTTATGAAACTATTCTTAGTTAGAACTGGAAGGGTCTTACAGACATTCACCCATAGTTTAGGCTCAGAGAAGGGAGTACATAGACCAAGTTTAGGCAGCTAGCAAGGGGCAGACTGGAGGCCAGGCCTGACCTCCAGATTCATGGCCTCTTTGTACAGACTGTCCTGTGAGGTTTGCAGGGGTAGGATTATGTCCTTTGTCTCTGAACTCCCAGCACTTAGCATGGATTCATCATGTTGTAGCATGTGTCAGAATTTCCTTCCTTTTTACAGCTGAATAATATTCCATTATATGGATAGACTACAATCTGCTCATCCATTCATCTGTGGGTGGACACTTGGGTTGGTTCCATCTTTTAGTGACTGTGAATAGTGTTGTCTCCCCTTTTAAATATTAAATTCCTGCGGAGAAGAATAGGAAGGAGACTGTCTTAGTCCGTTTTTGTTGCTGGAGCAGAACATCACAGACTGGGTAATTGATAAGCAATAGAACTTTATTTGGCTCATGGTTCTGGAGACTGGGAAGCCCAAGAGCGTGGTGCCGGCACCTGGTGAGAGCTTTTGCCCTGTGTCATCCCATGGCAGGAGGCAAGAGTGAGCAAGAGATCCAGCTCCAGCTTCCACTCTTTCATAATCGACAGTCCGTTTGTGAGGTGGAGCCCTCATGGCGGGTCACCTCTCAGAGGTCCTGCCTCTTGACACTGTTGCACTGGAGATCAAGTTTCCAACACATGCCTTCTGGAGGGCACACTTAACCTTAGCAGAGACTAGACTGAACACGCTGCCCGGTGTGTTGAATAAGCTCAATTAACGGTTAGTGAGTTGAAGTGACTGCAGTGTCACAGGAACGTGAGCGAGGGAAGGTAGAAATTGCTATAGTTGGAGAGAGTGCAAGGGCATTTTTGTCCTGGTAAATGTTTTGATCCTGAGGGACATTTGAAAAATATTTTAATCAGAATTGTATCCACATTGGTGAATTTACACCGAGAAAGTATTTTCTGGAGCTATTTCTCTTATGCCCACCTAATTCCTTGCTCAGATTTTTATGTAGCTCAGATAAACTATTTCTAATATGTGGCAGAAAACAATCTGAGCTAAGACTTGCAGATAAACTATTCTGGAATTATTTTAAAAGGTAATACCTTTTTGTGGAGAGGATTTCAAAAGACTGCTATAGTTGTAATTTTTGTACTAGTTGACAAACTGAACATCATATCGGAACAACAGAGATCTCAAAGTGTACCTTTGGCAGTCAGTAACGTAACAGAGGCATTTCCAGTATTAGTGCCAGATGTTTTGGTTTTAACTCTCGGAAAGACTGCCTGAATCTCAGGTTGTGTAGAACAGACTTACCTGGGCATGCACTCCTCATGTACCAGGAGATTGCAATATGAAAACAGACTGCAGGGCAGCTGGAACATTCTTTTACACAAATTTCCTGTTTACATTTTCTTTTACTAAAATCATTTTCATTGAGATGAGCTGAACTCTTTGTCTTAGACATTTTATTGGTGTTTTAACCCAGTTTTTAGGTCAACATTCAATTTTTTTTGATTATAGCTTTTTTTCTCTACAGATTTTTTTTTTTTTTTTTTTGGGTGGCTGGCGGACATGGGATAATAGCTTTTATTTTATTTTTGTGAGTTCTCGTGGCTGTTACTGTTATCAAGTCCAATTTGCTGAGGGGGGTGGTGGTATGGGGTAACGACTTTATAATGTGTTCTTTAGCTGCTGTGTGTGTGTGTTTTTGTGTGTATGTTTCTAGCAAAGAATACTGTATTATGAATTGAATAAAAGAATGACAATTTGCATTTTTTTCATAGCTAGTCCATGAAAAAAAATTGAGAGCAATACCTCAGGTGTGCCACGGTGGCCCTACTATCTAGCATGGGTCTGTTTTGTTGTTTATCTGATTCTTCCACTTGGTTCCAGTCACCCTGAAAACCATGTGCTAACTGCCCACATCACTGGAACAAAAAAGCAAAAGGCAGGGCCCAAAGACACAGTTGGGTACCTCAGGGGAGAGGTGAGAAGGAAGAAATGCAGGAGGATCAGTCTGCAAACCCCAGTTCCCATCTGGGTCTTCAAGTCTTAGATCCATCTTCATCTTTCTCTAGGTCCATGGAAAGAAGCTATTCCTTAGGTTCGATCCAGATGAAGAAACAGGGCTCCCTGGCACCAGCCCCCTGCCAAAGCCTGTAGGAAAAGGAGCACAGAAGGAAGAGGCCACAGACCAAGAGCAGGCCTTGGGGCCCAACGGACCGATGGTCTCCAGTGGACCCTTGCAGTCCGTGGAGCTTGTGGTTCCCAGTGAAGGTGACAGTTTGGAGTATTTGGGGGCAGATACCCCTGCAGCAGCTGCTGAGAGGTGGCTGCAGGTCAGCTTTGGTTTGTTTGGCAGCATTTGGGCGAATGAGTTCTCCAGAGCGAAGAAAGCCAACAAAAGGGGCGACTGGAGGGACCCTGTTCCAAGGTAATGCTGTGGCTGCCTGGTCTTCACAGGGTCTGCAGCGTTCACCTGCCCCCACCATGTGGGGTTTGGTTCTGGGCTGTGGGATCACACCCAGGTGGATGTCCACCCTGCTACCTACGACCCTGCTGTCTAGGGGAGAGAAGATGCTTCTGTATTTACCCATCACAGAAATTAGACTGTAGTCACTCTCAAAACAGGAATCCTGACACCCTGGGGGGTCTTGGAGAAGGAAGAGCTTTTCCAGCAAACGTAGCATGAGAGGGCACATGGTCTCTGAGGAACATTTATGGCTCAACTAGTGCATGCTGAATTTAGGGACAGGATCTTCTCAGTTTTCAATCTGTGAATGTTGAGAAGAGTATCTTTGTGCGTAAAACTCTATCTGCGTTTAGGATTATTTCCTTAGGGCCTATTTCCAGAGGAGTAATCGGTGGTCGAAGAGAATGACTGTCCTTATAGCTGCACATTTTTATGGGCTTATGAAAGTGCTGGCTTCACGGAATTGTTACTGACAGTGGGTTGTTTGTGTATTTTTTAATCAATTTGTTGAAGCTCTTGGATATGAAGTCTATTAACCTTTGTGATATGTGTTGCCAGTACTGTTTCAAATCTATCCTGTGTCCTTTGACAGTCTCTATGATGCCTTTTGGCATTTGGGATTTTTAATTTTTATGTTGTCAATGGTCCGTATTTTTATTGATTGCTATTAATTTTCCCCTCTTACTAAAAGGCTTTTTCTACCCCGAGTCACAGGACTTCTATTTTATAAAGTTTATTATTTAAAAAATTTGTTTAGAGCTATAGTCTTTATTTATGGTATGATGTAGGGACCTTAGGATGCTTTAGGCTATAGAAATAACCTATGGCAGCTTAAATGGTGAGGAGGTGTTTTGGCTCACATAACTAAAAGTTCAGAGGGAGGGTGGACTTTGGAGTTGACCAGTTCTAGGTTCTGCCTTCATGTTCTTGTGATTCTCTGGCTCTGCACTTTCCCACACGTTGGTTTTTGTCCTTAGATCAGTAAGTAGCAAGAGGCTACTGTGATTCCAGGCTTTATATCCACACGAGAAAATACCCAGAGAAGAGAGAGTGTCATTTCCAGAGGCTCAGATGAGCAAGGAGAGCTTTCTCAGACCCCCCAGCAGACCTCTCGTTGCCTGGAGCTGGCCCATGCACTGCTGCTGAATTGGGCACCAGCCAGAGGATTTGAAATGCCCTTCCACGAGGCAGGCTCACCCCGGGCTTTTCGTGTGTGTCATCTCAGATGTCACATTTCATGCCCCTACTTTTTAATCTCTTATCAAGTTATGTCTCTTTTCTCATTTTTCATGTTTTCCATTCTGCTTTGTCCCTTTTTTTTCTTTATTAGGCTTGCTTGAGTTTTATCTTCTTTGTTGCTCTTTCAAATAAATAGTATTAGCTTTACATACTTTTCCTATGTAGAAGAGTAGCTCCTAATTTCCGAAGGTTTGAGTGTTTAGGGTCATCTTTTTTTTACTTTTCATTTTAAAACTGTTATTGGATTATGATCAGAGACCGTAACCCATAGATTTTTCTTCTTTTGGCATCTGTTAAGACTTGTGGCCAAACACGTAATTGGTCTTTGTTCATATTTTATGTTCATAAATGAACATTGTGTGTTCATTAGGAGTAAAACACTCTGTAAATGCTAAGAACAGGTCATTGCTTTGATAACTCAAATTCTCGCTATTCTTGCTTATTTTTTTGTTTACTTAATATGTGAAACTTGAGAGGAGGACTGTTGCAATCACCCAGGGTAGCTGTGGTTTCTCCTCGTGTTTCTAAGCATTTTTGTTGTATGTGTCTGGCTGTCCTTGCATCCAGGCATCAAAGTCCCCAGGTCCTTGGAGACTGTGCATCATTGTTAGCAGCACTCCCTGCCTGTGTCTCCAATTCTGCCTTCCTCTTATCCACTTATTACACTTCCTTTCCTTCTCTTACTTCTGTTGGGTTTCCCAAGTGTCTTTTCTACCCCTGTTCTTCTGGACACTTGGCTATTCATCTTCATTCTCTTTTGGTTAATTTCCTTATCTTTAAATTAAACCTGTATTTTTTTCTATTAGTTAATAACCATCAAATTTTTCATAACATCAAAAAATGCTGCTCTCTCATCATTAAAACCATGGTTTTGCTCACTCTCCCCAACTCTGAGATGAGTCCTTTAAAATATTTCCACTGCAGCTGCTTTTCTCTGCCATATGCTCCCCAACTCCTGAGTTTGCTGATTAAATTAAATATAATTAAATATACAAGTTATATATTTAATTATATAATTAAATTGGTATTAAATGCATGTTAAAATATGCATCTTTTGTTTTAAGAATTCTTTCCTAACCCTTGATTGGCAGCTCAGGTGCACATCCTAGACACACTCCGTGTAGGTCTCTCCGCACATACTACACACTTATCCTTCTTTCACCTCCCCTGTCTCAAGATCCTTGCTGATTTAATGTCCGTCGGGTATGTATTTTTCCATGAGTACTTAGATGTTTCTCTGAGTCCCTGCTCAAGTCTCAAGGTTTCCTTTTTCTTGTGAGACACCATCTTGGTCAGATGCCTGGACCTGAGGGTTTCCTTGCCTTCCCATGTGGAGTCCAATTCCAGCCTGCTTGTCCTCCCTTACAAAGTGGCCCATTGATTCTTTTTTGAGTGTGGAGGCTTCTGCTGTGTCCCTGGCATGCAGGAAGCTCCTGGGAGTATGTGCAGGTGTGTTTTTGTGCGTAGTCCTGCCTGGAAGTGTGTGTGGTGCTTGCTTAGCACCCATCCTCCGTCTTCCTTCCTGAGCCCTGTTTTGGTGTAGGTAGCCACACCCCCTGCACTGTAGACTTCCTCTGTTTTCCCTGTTTTCTGTGTGAACGTGTACTGCATAAGCAGAACAATAGACACATATTTATGTTTTCTTTTAATTACTCCATTTAGCCTTGAGATTTTTGTGATTCTGGCAGAGCCATTCCTTTTCATTTTAGGGAGTTTAGCTTCCCCAGGTTTATCTTGGCGATAATGTGGATGCTGTATGTACGTGTGACCTGACTACACTGTGGTAACTGTGTGTACATGTGATCTGTCCTTTCTTCCCTTCCCAGGTTGGTCCTGCACTTTGGTGGTGGTGGCTTCCTGGCATTTTATAGCTGTCAGATGTCTTGGAGCTCTTCCCCGGTGTTCAAACCCACCTGTGACATCTTATCTGAAAAGTTCCATCGAGGACAAGCCTTGGAAGCTCTGGGCCGGGCCCAGCCTGTCTGCTACACACTGTTGGACCAGAGATACTTCTCAGGGTTAGGTATGCCTGATGGGAAGGGGTGGGTCCCACAGAATTGTTTAATAGAAAAATCTGTCATCTAGTATCGCAAGACCCGAGAGCCACCTAGCTGTGCCAGTGCTGTTGGTCTTGGTCTTGAGGCGACCCCTTCGTCTCCAGCTCCTCTAACCTTGCTTTCAGTCTGAGACAGTTAGATTAGGCAGTTTTGAGCTTCTCTCCACTTCACAATTTACACCCTAATTGTGTTATCCATTCAGAGCCTCCTGGTGGCCACATCAGAGCAGGACCTCGCAGAGAGGGCAGGGCTTGGGCCTTGGGCATGCTTGTGTCCCTGCTGCCTGTGTAGTGCCTGGTGCATAGGAAGTGCTTGATCGGTGTCTGCTCATGTAGAGGTGTGCATCTGCTTGGGGATGCCACTCTTGGGTGTTGGAGCTTCCTGCAGGTCACAGCACAGATGTGACTCAAGTCTGCATCAGGGTCTTATAAGATGTGAGTGAAAATGCAGGTTCCCTCTTTCAGTTATGGTGGCCTAAGCGGTGAAACAGGATTTCCAGGTGGGGAGAAGAGCTGAGCAATTTGAAACAAAGCAACAGCTGCTTTGCTGGACTGTGGGAGCATGCCATTCCTGCTGCCTGCAGCAGGGATTGAGTGTGACTGGGACTGGCCGACGAGGCCATCAGGGAGTTGGAGATGGCAGAGGCACCTCCATGCCCAGCTGTGACCACCTGTTGCAGGCACAGCCACCTCACAAGGTCTTGGGAGGCCTGTGGCTCACTAGGTGCTGGCCTTGCATTTTCAGGTTAGAGCCAGGGAGTCCCTGTGCCCCAAGGAGCAAAGAGGCTTTCAGAAGTGGCCCTGTGGGTCTGCGAGAGCTAATGACATACTAGCATAGTAATAACAGCCAGCATTTTTGAGTGACTAACATGCCAGGCACGTGGTGTCTTCCTTGCTGTTACTCTGTAGGATAATCCTGTTACTAAGATGAGAAAACTAAAGCAGAGGACACATCACAGGTAAGTGGGACAGCTGAGACACAGTTCCCAGCAGTCTACCAGTGGATTTTGGAAAGAAGTTCTGCGTGTGACTAGGGGTGTGACTGACGCTCCTAGAAAGAGCAGTAATTCACTCATCCACTTGCTCCAGACGCACTGAACACTCACTCTCTGCCAGCTCTTCTCTCTGCAAGGAAGTCGTTGTTCAGTGGCCCAGCAAGCAGCACTCAGTTCCCTGTGAGCTAAGATTGATTGCAGATGCCTAGTGGAGGTTAAAGCAAGCACACATTGGGACATTGCAAAGAGAAGCCTTGATTCTGGAAGGAGGGTTCGAGGCTGGCTTCACAGAGAATGAGGCAGGAGTAGAAAAATAATAAAGTAATACCTCCTAAAGAAGTTCCTACATAATGAGCACTATAGTTGACATTTTAAATAATAGCAAGGCTGGCTGGTTAGCTAATTGGTTAGAGCATGGCGCAGCTAACACCAGAACTCAGGGTTACCTGTGCCGACCAGCTGCCAAAATAACAAGTAATAATAACAGTTAGTGTGTATCAAGTGTTCTCTATGTGCCAGCCCTGTACTCAGCATTTCTCGTGAATTCTTACTTCTCACAAGAACCAGATGAGCTGTCCCTGTTTTACAGCAGAGGACACTGAGGCCTCAAGAGTCCAGGGAACTGGCCAAGGTGATGGGGAGGATCTGGGTGAGCTGGGATTCAAGTTTGGGTGGTCAGGGGCCTGAGCTCTCTTTGACACCATCTTGCTGTGCCATGGGCCGTGCACAAGCTCCATTTCATGCTCACCACAACCACAAGGTAAGAGTTACCAAAGCTCCTCACAGACGAGGGGATTGACTTGGAGGTTGCGTGATGTGCCTGAGCTCCCGCGGGACGTGGCAGAGCTAACTCCAGGTCTCCTTGCTGCCATCATCCAACTTCAGTTTGCTTTGCCAACTTCTGGGATGATTTTGTTATGATGTGTCCCTTTTTCTTCCCTTTCCTTTCTGCTTTGTCTCAGGGAACATCATTAAGAATGAAGCCTTGTACAGAGCTGGGATCCACCCCCTGACCCTCGGTTCTCTCCTGAGGCCTTTGCATCTTGAGGCCCTTGTGGACCACGTGGTGGAGTTCAGCACAGACTGGCTTCAGGGCAAGTTCCAGGGCAGACAGCAGCACACTCAGATCTACCAGAAGGACCACTGCCCTGCTGGCCACCTGGTCACCAAGGAGGCGTTGGGGCCCCTGGGTGGGTTCCAGAGGCTTACCTGGTGGTGCCCACAGTGCCAGCCCATGTTGTTCCCCAAGGAGCCTGAGCCACCGCAGCTCTCCTGAGGCACTTGCGCTGTTCTTCTTGGAGCCATGCCCTTTAGGGACCGTGTGCCCAAGTGTCCAGAAAGGAGGGAGTGGGCAGGGGCTAGGTGCAGAAGACAGGGCAGGTGGGGAAGGTCAGTATTGTTAATGTGCATCTCACTGGAGTTATGTCTGAGGCAGAGTTTTCATAGGTTAGATTTTTCCTTTTCTAGTTTTGTTCACTGTTCCCATCTAATCCTCCCATTATGAAAGATGAGAAAATTTCTAATGATGGGGAAGGGGGAAGCTCCCAGAACAATGAGGCAGTGAAAGCCTGTGGGAAGAGCTGTGCTCCCAACATTGCTTTGCAGGTTCTGTGCTGTGTTTGAAATTTTGGCTGGTTTTAAGGCTATCCATTTTGAGAAACAGAAAATAGCATTTTCTTTCTTCCTTCCCTGGAGGGGTCTTGAGATGAGGACAAGTCGGGGGAGGGTGGTACTGCCCTTCAGCCTCCTGCCTGGGTCCTTCCAAGATGGGGGGGCCGGGCGGGGAGAAGAGCTGCTCGTTTACTCCTGCAGCTGACACATGTGACTACTGATATGTTGAAAAATTCAAAAGTCAAGGGTTGTAGGGAAACGCTCATGACATGAAAATAAAGCTGTTTGTTATTTTCTGTGTCATCTTTGGCAGTAAAGGTCCTCTGCTGTAATTGAGCTCTTTGTGGAGGTGGCCTCCTGGGGCTTGCTGGGAGGAGGTAAGTGCACCTGCCCTTCTGCCCTAGTGAGCAGAGACTGAAGTCACTGCTGTTGCCACAGCCTCTGGCACAGAGGAGGGAGCTATTTGTGAGCCTGACACTGAGAGTGGTGGCTGATGTTTCTGGCTTTCCTCTACTGTCCTATCTTAAATTATTGAGAGCCGGCCACATCAGGGAAAGCTGTTTTATGGCAGACTGATTCTTTGTGTAACAGTTAATATGTACCGAGTGCTCCCCCTGTGCTGGCGACTTGCCCTGCTCACCACTGAGTCCTTGTGCATCTCCTGCGTGATCACCCATGAAGATAGGTACTCCCTCTCACTGTCCTAACATTATAGATGGGAACACTAAAGTCTAGGGAGGTCAGGAACTTGGTCACACAATTAACAAGGATCAGAGCCACTGACTTAGCTGCCATGACAGTACCACAAACTGGGTTACTCAAACAACAGACCTTTATTTCTGACAGTCTGGAGGCTGGAAGCTCAAGGTGTCAGCTGACTCAGTTCCCTGGTGAGATCCCCCGCTTGGTTTGCATGTGGCCGCCTCCTCACCCTCACTACCTCACTATACCTGATCACCTCCCAAAGGCCCATATCCAAATGCCATCACGGTGGGTCTTAGGGCTTCAACACAGGTCCATAACAGCCATGTGCTTTTAACCCACAACATTACATTTCTGGCCATTCTGGAAGCTGAAAGTTCAAGATCGAGGTGCCTGCTGGTAGGGCTTTTTCTCCTGAGGCCTCTAGGAGAAGGGCCTGCTGGTGTCCATCAGCTCGCTGTGTCCTAGCGTGGCCTCTTCTCTGTGCACAGACATGGCATCTCTTCTGGTAGGGACGTCAGTCATACTGGATTAGGGCCCCAGCCTTATGAGCTCATTTAACTAATTTTCTCTTTAAAGACCCTATGTCTAAATACAGTCACTTTGGGGGTTAGGGTTTCAACATATCAACTTTAAGGGGACATGATTCAGTCCGTTACAGGTGACAGAGGGGTTTTGGAAAAAATCTTCAACTTCTTGGAAGCTCTCTCTCCACACCCTTTTTTTGAAAAAAATAAAAACAAAAAAAACCCATATTAGTTTGTAAGGCCCCACTTCCAGACCAGGTGATATAAAAATAGTGAGTAACAGGTGGTTATTTGTATGTGGAGGAGTATGTTTATATATGCTCACACTTAGGCATGTTTGTGTATGCACACACATAAAATTATAAAAATGTCTGTGTGCATATATATTTTGATTCAAATTTGCCTTTCATGAGATAATGCAAGAGCAAAATTCCAGGCGTGGGCTGGAGCAAAGCTGGTGCCGTCACAGACCGTTCCCTCTGAGTCGAAATCCACAGGGTGGTGGCTCCAGAGCACAGCAGGGTGGGGAGGGAGGCTCCACGGCGGGGGAGGATAGGGCACCACAGCCTGCGTCGGGGTCCCCACCAGTTGGGGTGGGTAGAAAGGAAAACGCTGTGGCAGTTGCTGAGAAAAGAAGCAATGGGGCTGAGCACAGCAATGGGCTTGGAAAGGAGACAAGAGCTGAGGGTCATCAGTGCTGGGCTCCACTGGTGTCAGCTGACCAGACGTGGGGACAGGGCAAGGAGGAAAGAGCTGAAGCTGGCTGGTGCCTGGTATATGAGAGCCGGAAGAGGCCAGCCCTGGTGGATTCGGAAAATCAAGAGGGAATCAGACCTTGAGGCACGTTCTGCTTGGGAGCCTGAAAGCCACCTGGGCTGTGAGGACAAGGTAATTAGGAAGCAGGCCTGGATCCCCACAAGCACCGGCAGGGCAGCTAGGTGAGGTTAACAGGATGTTCCAGTAGCATAAGGGAAGATGGAGACCATGATGGGATCTTAAGGTCTCGTGTTTAAGGGGCGAGAGGAGAAAGAGAAGCCAGTCCACGAAGACAGATCGAATGTGAAGAACTTTCAGCGGAAGCCAGTGGTCAGTGACGTGACTCACACCGGGAGGACGAGAACCACCCAGCAGAGGCCCTTGGGGTCTGGCAGTGGAGCACACTGGAGGTCACGGTGGTCTTTGAGAGAGCAGTGTGCAAGTGGTGGCCTGTAAGGGACTGCGAGTGACGTGGGGAGGGCGGTCTGGTCTGCTCACAGTTTGGCTTTGAAGGAAATAAGAGAAGGTCGCGGAGGAGAGTTATAGTTTAAAAGATGGATAAGATGTGAGGATTCGTATGTGATCATTCGAGGGAGGGAGAGCGCGAACCAGCAGAACGTGACGAGTCCGCGGAAAGGTGGGCAGGAGGGAAGGGGACCGGCGGCGGGACAGGCGGCCTCCTGAGGCAAGGTCCCGGCGAGGACGCGAGGGGTGAGGGACCGCGCTGAGCGGACGCCCGGGCCACGGCAGACAAGTGCTGCGAGAGGGGCGACATCCCGACGACAGACCAGGGGACAACAACTGATTGGATGCGCAGGAGTGCGCGAGGGCCGCGTGTCCCGACCCTGGTGCGGGCCGCGTGGCGCGGGAGACGAGTCCCTCAGCCCGGAGGTGGACGAGGCGCGGTATCTTCCGCCCAGGCGGCCACCGCGGGGGACCGGGCGGGCGAGCAGCGGGGGCGCCGATCGGAGCGAGGCGAACGAGCCTGCCCCGACCACTCGCCCTCCCGCGGACGCGCTGAAGTTTCGGGACGGCCCGAGACGCAGGGGGCTGCCGTGAACACTCGGGAAGGGTCTCTGCTCCGGCCCGGCCGGGGCACACATAGAGCCCGCCCCGCGAGGGCACCAATCGCGCTCGGCGGACTTCGTCCCGCCCTCCAATGGCCTTCTTGGCTGTCATCACGCCAGGCTCCTCCCGCCGCCAATTTGCCGGAGTCTTCCTGGGGCGAGAGGCCCTGGCCAATCAGCGCCCGTCAGTCCACCCCGCGCGCCCGCGGGAAGCGACGCGAGCGCTCGCGGCGGTTGAGTTAGGCGGGAAGTGGGCGGGGCATGGGCGGGGCGTCAGGCTCGCACCGCCCCGCGCTGCCTTGACCTCATCCGCCGGCCGCGGCACCTGAGGTGATCGCCGAGGCCGTGGCACCTGAGGTGATCCACGAGGTGACTGCCGCCAGGATGGAGTTCGTGAAGTGCCTGGGGCACCCGGAGGAATTCTACAACCTGCTGCGCTTCCGGATGGGCGGCCGGCGGAAGGTGATGCCTAAGATGGACCAGGTGGGCCAAGCCAAGCATCCCATATCCCGGCGGGGCGGGACGGAGGGCGGGGGGCGCGGGCAAGCGGCGCCGACCCCTCGGGAGGACGGACCTCGCCGGCCGCGTCGCCGTCCCTCAGCTGTCCCCGGCCGTCCTCCC